AGGTTAGCAGCCTGATTTGTAACCACTACGCTACCATTTTGTTACTACAACTTAAGAAATCTGTACAGGTTGGGTTAAGAAATGTTTACACTTTGCTACTTTGCTTTTTTTTTTTTTTTCTTTTCCAGTCTTTCTGTTTTCTTTGTTATAAGATAAATGTAATGCCTTATAGTGATTTACCATTGTGTAGAATTTATAAACCCTTAATCTCTTTGTCTTTAATGTATTTTCTTTGGGGGAATAGTCAGAAATGCCTTTAAAAATTGTTTCAGAACACAAAATAATTTCCATAACGAGTATTACTACCTATATTATGATTTATTGTGAATTGAGTGAACATCAGCTTTTGCACTCATCCTATCGTATTTTGTTTCATTGTAATCACTACAATCCCCTCCATGGATCATCATTCAACAGCATTTGTTTCTATTCCCTCTGTTTTTATTGGATGTACACCAAAGCACTTAAGCAAATCTTCCCTTCAATCGCCAGCAAACAGCCTCTCTCCCTCCATGAGTCTAGAGTCTCTAGCTGGTCCATCTCTCCACATATGATGACCATATTTTGCTGCCAAGGAATGTTTTAAAAAGTGTATGGTGTGTATTTACATACTCTAAAAGAAAATTGTCATTATCATACTACCTGGACGCCCTGTCCTCCCAGTTGTGCCTGGGAATCCTCGAATTCCAGAGAAGCCAATTTCTCCTCGGTCACCTTTAAAACCAGGTGGACCTATGTAGGGTTAATGAAAATAGAAAGTAGAAAGAATCAATTTTTTTATATATATCCGTGGTATAATGGAACAATCTATATATTTTCATGAGAGAATATGAAATAGGCGAATCTCCGAATTGAAGAATAATAACTTCCTGAAAAATTCATGTGTACTATTGAAAGATAATGCAAGCAATAAGTATAAAACTGTGTGCATTTAGATATTACAGATATTCTGCAAGTAAGACATTGCTAGTATACATAAAAGCACAAAAGAAAGAAAGGAAAAAAAAATCTTGGTCTTTTAACCAGAAGGCATACATAGTCTAATAAGGTATCTTCAAATTACAGAATTTTGCTGTGATTTCAATTGATAAGCTGACAAATTTGACAACTATTGTGAGATTAGCCAGAACCAGGCAGTGTTTTGTTCTGCTGTGCATAGGGTCGGAACCACTATGGATCTGTACGAACTCAAGTACCTAACAACAATTGAATTTCTAAGATTTATCTTATAGAAAGAAAATCTCAAGCAATGGAAAGTATTAATGTATGTTTTATAAAAAATGATTGAAATCCTAGCTCTGGATTTCATTCTTATTATCTCTGATGGTCATATTTCTGCATGCATCATTTTCAACCCTTGTTCGAACAAATGACTTTGGTCTATGGATAGGTTCCACATGAGCAGAATTAAGTGTTCTAGAATCCCCCCTGTTCACAATGTTGTTTCAGATCAGGCAAAGTATGTGTCAGGATTGTATCCTTTCACTGTACATATTTAATATGTATGCTGGCCAAGGAATACAAGAAGATGAGCAATTTGGAGGGGAATGTGGCATCAGGATTGAAGGAAGATTAATTAATTAATAACTTGTGATAGATATGTAGATGACACAACTTTGCTTGCTGAAAGAGAAGAGGACTTGAAGAATTTACTGAGAAAGATCAAAGACTACAGCCTTCAATATGAATTACATCCTGACATAAAGAAGAAAAAAAATCCTAGCAACTGGACCAGTCAGAAACAACATGAGAAACAGAGAAAAATATTGAATTTATCTAGAATTTAATTTTAACTTTGAACCACTATCAATGCTCATGAAAGCAGTAGTCAAGAAATCCAGACATATTGCATTGGGCAAATCAGTTGCAAAAGACTTCTTTAAAGTGTTAAAAAGCTGATCTCATCTTGAAGATTAATGTGCTCCTGACCCATGCCATGATGTTTTAAATTGACACATATGCATGCAAAAGCTGGATAATGAATAAAAAAGAAAGAATAACTTATACCTTTGAATTATGGTGGAGAATATTCAATATCCCACAGTCCACCAGAAGAATGAAAAAATCTGTGTTGTAAGAAGTACAGTCAGAATGTTCCTTAGACGCCAGGAAGGTGAGAGTTTGCCTCAGGTACTTTGGACTTGTTACCAAAAGGACCAGAAGAAGGTCCCTGAAGAAGGACATTATGCTTGGTTAATAGAAGGTCAATGTAAAAGAGGAAGTCCCTCAATGAGACAGATTGATAGAATGTCTACAAGAAAATGTTGAAGTATAGCAATGATTGTAAGGATAGGTTAGGGTTGGGTAGTATTTTAGACTGTTATATATAGGGTTGCCAAAAGTTGGAACAGTCTTGAAGGCAGCTAACAACAGCAATATTGTTATCCCAAATAATGGAAATTGGCACATCTAGGATTGTTGTTGTTGTTGTCAGGTGCCATCGAGTTGGAACCGACTCATAGCGACCCCATGCACAGCAGAACGAAACAATGCTCGATCCTGGGCCAACCTCACCACCGCTGCCACCCCCGAGTCCATCAATGATGCCACCTGGCCGATCCATCTCGTTGGAGGTCTTCCTCTTTTTCTCTGACCCTCCACCCTACCCAGCATGACATCCTTCTCCAGTGACTGTTTCCTCCGGACAATATGTCCAAAGTATGAGAGACGAAGCTTAGCCATCCTGGCTTCCAAGGAGCACTCTGGCTGCACTTCTTCCAAAACAGATCTATGGGTTCTTTTGGCAATCCATGGCACTTTCAGTATTCTCCTCCAACACCACAACTCAAAGGCAACAATTCTTCTATGATCTTCCTTATTCACTGTCCAGCTTTCGTATCCATATGAGGCTATTGAAAACACAATGGCCTGGGTCAGGTGCACCTTAGTCCTCAAGCTGACATCTCTGCTCTTCAATACTTTAAAAAGTTCCTGTGCAGCAGATTTGCCCAATGCAATACGTCGTCTGATCTCTTGACTGCTGCTTCTGTTAGTGTTGATAGTTGATCCCAGAAGAATGAAGTCTTTGACAACTTCAATCTTTTCTCCATTGATAAGAATGTTGTTTATTGGTCCAGTGGTGAGGATATTTGTTTTCTTGAATTTTTTTAAGAAAAAAATTATTGTTTTCCAATGTCAATCTTTTATGATATTGCCAATATTTTACAAGTTCCTGTAGGGTAGTGATAATGCCTACTTAACTCATTTAAACCACCCCACCTTTAAAATTTTTATTTTTTTAAGATTCAGCGTTTCATACAGACACCAAAAATTGGGCTGTCATCCTCTAAGAAATGTTCAGTTTGAGAAATATATCATTCTCAATAGTTTAAGAAAATAGTGTAATACTTAGACTCCAACAGAAATCAAGCAGATAGCCAGAGCAATAAAATGAAGGATTATGGCCAGAGATAGTAATATATTGCTTGGACTTCAGAAAATAAAGTCTGAAACATACATAGCATCTGTTCTCAGGACAGACTGATATAGTAACATGTATATTTTCTTCATCATCCAAGCAGAGCAGTAAGATTCTTCTACATGCAGCCATTGTGATCTGTCACTCAAAATTACAAATAAAAACACTGACTGAAAATTCCCTCATTTTTATAACCTGTGAACTGTGAAGTTTGATAGTTTAACAATCCTCCATTCTTTTTAGAATGTCACATGTGATTGCATTGTTTTTCCATCAGAATTTTCCTTTAATAATTCAGCAAACAAATACAGAATGCATATATTATGCCAACATTTCTTCATTTTGGAGTTACAAACATCCTTGTATAAACAAACCTTCAAGTGTAGAGCAACAATGAAGGGATAAAGAAGTAAGCTGTCAAATCAGTAAAGCATGTAATTTGGTGCTATAATTTTTACAAGTAATAAAACTGGAAAATTAATTAAAAAATTCTTTGGGATCACAGAGGACCTGTCTGATGGTGATCATTTTAAGTACATTACAGTGAAGATCAGAAGACAGCTTTTCAACTATGTATTACATCTTGTTTTCAATTGCTGAGTAAATTAATACAAAAATGAAGCTCATATGATATTGCCATGCAAATTGATTTGTCATTAGACCTCTACACAGAAAATGTTGAAGGGAATTTTGTGACATTTAGAGTTTTATGATTTTATTTAAAGATATTTGCAATGTGGCCCTCTAAGGTAGTTACCACTGCTGGATTTAATTGCAGAAGACCAGATTTTCTGAGCCTTTCAGGAGGCAATTTGCTAATTTTCTAATAAGTCTGATCAAAGGGAAAGGGTCAGGCTCCTACTTCCAAATCATTGACAACAATAAGGATATTATCCAGACTCTTTGTCATTAATGTTAGAGTTTCAAGGGCTCATAATCATCATCCTAAACAAGCTCATCATTTTGTACATACAGGAACAGAAAACTGGGTAGATCAATTTACTACTAATCATGTTAAGTCTGATTGGCTAAATACAAAACCCATGTAACAGCTTTTAGTCTATCCTTCTTTCTGTGGTCTAGGAGGCTGGCTAAGAGTATAAATCATACCTATCTGAATTCAAATACTGGTTCTCTTACGTATCCACCAACTGCTGATGATTCTTGTGAAAGTCATTTACATTCCTTGTGCATCTATAAAATGGGTAAATTATTTATGCCTTCCTTATACATTTGTTCTTATGATTCAAAGAGTGTATAAATGGAAAACATTTAGAAAACTACATGACATATTGTAAATACTGTGTGTTAGATAGTAGTAATGGTATTAGTAATAGAAACATAATTATTAATTTGACAAGTGTTTTTTGAAGGCTGTTACAATGAGTTTTATTTACTGATAGTCTATAGTGATCATCTTTATTAAAACAAAAAACTTAATAAAGAAATCACCCTTTCTTGGCACAACTTGTACTTTCAGAAGAAAGTCATTTTCAATCCTCAGGCATAAAAAAACAGCCTACAGGCAGCAATTCTCCCTACTAAAGTATGTATTTATGGAGCTCAAGCTTAGCATTTTGTTTGTTTTGTTCTTTTTGAAAGTTGTGAAAGAAGTCTTTCTAGGCAACTGATGGAGTTGGTGTGTGGGATGGAAGGCAGAGATATAAATTAATGGAATAGAAATGGAAGGATATTTCCTAGAACTTTCAGAACATGGACCTCTCAACAGCTTGATTTTGGACTTCAGTACTCCAAAAATGTGAGAGAATAAGTTTATGTTATTATTAAGTCAAGTTTGTGGAAATTTGTTATAGTAGCCATAGAAAAGCAATACATGATGAAAAATTATTCAGCGAGAGGAAAAAAGCACCATGCTCATCATTAGGCAACATCCTCCTATGCCTATAAGTCAGACTACCCAGTTTTTATGTGGCGCTGTAGGATAAGCATTGGACCACAAGATTGGCTTGAACTGAAGGAGGGATGACTAGTTTTGATGAAGTACCTCATACCAAATGACTTCTGTATAGCCTTGTTGTTGTTGTTAAGTGTTAATGAGTTAGTTCCAACTAATACGGACTCTATGAACAACAGAATGAAATACTGCCCAGTTCTGGGCTGTCCTTACAATCATTGTTACACTTGAATCCATTGCTGATGCCACTGAGCCACTCCATCTCATTGGGCATCTTCTATTTCTTCGCTGCCCTCACACTTTATACTAAGGATGATGACATTCTTCAGGGACTGGTCCCTCATGATGTTTGAAGTATGAGACACAGTCTTGCCATCCTGGTTTCTAAGGAGCATTCTG